GTACAGTTGGCTCCATATTCCAACCCTTGTATACATGCTGTCATTGAAAGAAGTACAAGTTGTAAATAAAAAGTGATACCAAACCAATCGCAGACAAGGTATAACTTCAATTCAGCTCCTGTTGCACAAAAATGGTTCTATGAAAAGCAACATCTAAATGCAGAGTAGGAAACATGCATCTACAGTTTTAGATATAGTTTATTCTCATTTCTGAAAGAATGGTACACACAAAGTAACCATTCTAAACACTTGTGATTGGCCTTACCAGTAGTGCAGTCTTCTCCCTTAAACCCTGACTGGCATCCGTTCTCACAGCGGCCTGAATCCTGGGGACAGGTGGCATTCCCTCCCTCACACATACGGGCACTGCAGTTACCCGAACAGTTAGCTCCATATTCCACCCCTTGTATGCATGCTGTCACTGAATAAAGTACATGCTGTATACCAAAGGTGAAAGAAAACCAAACCCAGACTACTTACTTTTAAGACTCATTTCATACTTTATTAGCAATGGTTCTTCCAAATAGAAGCATGTCAATTTGGGGATGGCGAAATTGTACCAGTTTCTTTATTCGACCTTTCATTACATTCCTTGAATAATGTTAAGGCAAATTAAAGACAATAAAGACTTGTGAATGTCGCTTACCAATAGTGCAGTCTTCCCCCATATATCCTGGTTGACATCCGTTCTCACAGCGGCCTGAATCCTGAGGACAGGTGGCATTCCCTCCCTCACACATCCGGGCACTGCAGTTACCCGTACAGTTGGCTCCATATTCCAACCCTTGTATACATGCTGTCATTGAAAGAAGTACAAGTTGTAAATAAAAGTGAAACCAAACCAATCGCAGACAAGGTATAACTTCAATTCAGCTCCTGTTGCACAAAAATGGTTCTATGAAAAGCAACATCTAAATGCAGAGTAGGAAACATGCATCTACAGTTTTAGATATAGTTTATTCTCATTTCTGAAAGAATGGTACACACAAAGTAACCATTCTAAACACTTGTGATTGGCCTTACCAGTAGTGCAGTCTTCTCCCTTAAACCCTGACTGGCATCCGTTCTCACAGCGGCCTGAATCCTGGGGACAGGTGGCATTCCCTCCCTCACACATACGGGCACTGCAGTTACCCGAACAGTTGGCTCCATATTCCACCCCTTGTATGCATGCTGTCAATGAATAAAGTACATGCTGTATACCAAAGGTGAAAGAAAACCAAACCCAGACTACTTACTTTTAAGACTCATTTCATACTTTATTAGCAATGGTTCTTCCAAATAGAAGCATGTCAATTTGGGGATGGCGAAATTGTACCAGTTTGTTTATTCGACCTTTCATTACATTCCTTGAATAATGTTAAGCCAAATTAAAGACAATAAAGACTTGTGAATGTCGCTTACCAATAGTGCAGTCTTCCCCCATATATCCTGGTTGACATCCGTTCTCACAGCGGCCTGAATCCTGAGGACAGGTGGCATTCCCTCCCTCACACATCCGGGCACTGCAGTTACCCGTACAGTTGGATCCATATTCCAACCCTTGTATACATGCTGTCATTGAAAGAAGTACAAGTTGTAAATAAAAAGTGATACCAAACCAATCGCAGACAAGGTATAACTTCAATTCAGCTCCTGTTGCACAAAAATGGTTCTATGAAAAGCAACATCTAAATGCAGAGTAGGAAACATGCATCTACAGTTTTAGATATAGTTTATTCTCATTTCTGAAAGAATGGTACACACAAAGTAACCATTCTAAACACTTGTGATTGGCCTTACCAGTAGTGCAGTCTTCTCCCTTAAACCCTGACTGGCATCCGTTCTCACAGCGGCCTGAATCCTGGGGACAGGTGGCATTCCCTCCCTCACACATACGGGCACTGCAGTTACCCGAACAGTTAGCTCCATATTCCACCCCTTGTATGCATGCTGTCACTGAATAAAGTACATGCTGTATACCAAAGGTGAAAGAAAACCAAACCCAGACTACTTACTTTTAAGACTCATTTCATACTTTATTAGCAATGGTTCTTCCAAATAGAAGCATGTCAATTTGGGGATGGCGAAATTGTACCAGTTTGTTTATTCGACCTTTCATTACATTCCTTGAATAATGTTAAGCCAAATTAAAGACAATAAAGACTTGTGAATGTCGCTTACCAATAGTGCAGTCTTCCCCCATATATCCTGGTTGACATCCGTTCTCACAGCGGCCTGAATCCTGAGGACAGGTGGCATTCCCTCCCTCACACATCCGGGCACTGCAGTTACCCGTACAGTTGGCTCCATATTCCAACCCTTGTATACATGCTGTCATTGAAAGAAGTACAAGTTGTAAATAAAAGTGAAACCAAACCAATCGCAGACAAGGTATAACTTCAATTCAGCTCCTATTGCACAAAATGGTTCTATGAAAAGCAGCATCTAAATGCAGAGTAGGAAACATGCATCTACAGTTTTAGATATAGTTTATTCTCATTTCTGAAAGAATGGTACACACAAAGTAACCATTCTAAACACTTGTGATTGGCCTTACCAGTAGTGCAGTCTTCTCCCTTAAACCCTGACTGGCATCCGTTCTCACAGCGGCCTGAATCCTGGGGACAGGTGGCATTCCCTCCCTCACACATACGGGCACTGCAGTTACCCGAACAGTTAGCTCCATATTCCACCCCTTGTATGCATGCTGTCAATGAATAAAGTACATGCTGTATACCAAAGGTGAAAGAAAACCAAACCCAGACTACTTACTTTTAAGACTCATTTCATACTTTATTAGCAATGGTTCTTCCAAATAGAAGCATGTCAATTTGGGGATGGCGAAATTGTACCAGTTTGTTTATTCGACCTTTCATTACATTCCTTGAATAATGTTAAGCCAAATTAAAGACAATAAAGACTTGTGAATGTCGCTTACCAATAGTGCAGTCTTCCCCCATATATCCTGGTTGACATCCGTTCTCACAGCGGCCTGAATCCTGAGGACAGGTGGCATTCCCTCCCTCACACATCCGGGCACTGCAGTTACCCGTACAGTTGGCTCCATATTCCAACCCTTGTATACATGCTGTCATTGAAAGAAGTACAAGTTGTAAATAAAAAGGGATACCAAACCAATCGCAGACAAGGTATAACTTCAATTCAGCTCCTCTTGCACAAAAATGGTTCTATAAAAAGCAACATCTAAATGCAGAGTAGGAAACATGCATCTACAGTTTTAGATATAGTTTATTCTCATTTCTGAAAGAATGGTACACACAAAGTAACCATTCTAAACACTTGTGATTGGCCTTACCAGTAGTGCAGTCTTCTCCCTTAAACCCTGACTGGCATCCGTTCTCACAGCGGCCTGAATCCTGGGGACAGGTGGCATTCCCTCCCTCACACATACGGGCACTGCAGTTACCCGAACAGTTAGCTCCATATTCCACCCCTTGTATGCATGCTGTCAATGAATAAAGTACATGCTGTATACCAAAGGTGAAAGAAAACCAAACCCAGACTACTTACTTTTAAGACTCATTTCATACTTTATTAGCAATGGTTCATCCAAATAGAAGCATGTCAATTTGGGGATGGCGAAATTGTAGCAGTTTATGTTTATTCGACCTTTCATTACATTCCTTGAATAATGTTAAGCCAAATTAAAGGCAATAAAGACTTGTGAATGTCGCTTACCAATAGTGCAGTCTTCCCCCATATATCCTGGCTGACATCCGTTCTCACAGCGGCCTGAATCCTGAGGACAGGTGGCATTCCCTCCCTCACACATCCGGGCACTGCAGTTACCCGTACAGTTGGCTCCATATTCCAACCCTTGTATACATGCTGTCATTGAAAGAAATACAAGTTGTAAATAAAAAGTGAAACCAAACCAATCGCAGACAAGGTATAACTTCAATTCAGCTCCTATTGCACAAAATGGTTCTATGAAAAGCAGCATCTAAATGCAGAGTAGGAAACATGCTCCTACAGTTTTGGATATATAGAGAATACTACACGAGGTCTCATTACATACGAAATATACGAATCGAGTGTCCTTCCTATGGTACAAACCATAGGAAGGGCACGAATTTCGTATACTTCGTATGTAATGAGACCGAGTGTGGTATTTTATTTATTACCCACGTCTTCCTTGCATTGAATTGACAAAATAGCGTATTTTTGTTATTGTTATTGTTTCAAACCGAAACCGGTTTCATAAAGAGGTTGCGGAAGAATTTTGTTCTAAAGTACACTTTTGCATGATATCACACTGCATTGACGTCACTACGCCATTCCTTGGTAACCGACGTCACGATGCATCTGAGTTGTCATCGCCTCGTACAGCCTCCTACAGTAAACTACTCCGCATCAGCCCGTGTCTTGGTTTGCAACTCCCTCACTCGGCTAACATCACTGGTGGAAACTTTGCGTTTATGTTTTTCGACGGATATAATGTCTCAGTTGGACTAACAAGTAAGCAGCAACACGGCAACGTTCGCAATATTTACATTCCCACAATGCATCTAAGTTGTAGAATGAATGAATTCACGTGTTTGTTATGAATGAACAAGTAGTTCCGTCACAACGTGACCTAACTGAGAGGTCATCGGTTATCCAATCAAATCGTTAGAATCTCAGGTGAAGTCGTTACGACACAGGTCAACGCGATACGACACTCGTGTGACGTACGAGATTAGTATGCAACTACCCATACGTTGACCACGTGGGTGATAAAGTTTATTCCCATTCCCATTTACACGGAAGTAATAATATAAATACTTGACAATGTGAATCCCCTTTTGTGTTATCTCTGTCTTCTCCCGTTTAGGGCATGAACATAAATAGAATGCACAATTAAACCATGTACTTGTTAATACTTCAAATCAGTACATGTGACAGGAAATAGTGGTTCTGTGAAGAGAAGCATGTCAATAGGTAGATGGGTAAAATGGCTACAAACCTGCAACTACAAACCTGCGTCACACCTGTCTGTTTGCCAGCCTGGTAGACAGACTCCACTGGGGCAGTCGCCGGTCACGTAGTTGCACACATCACCGTCACAGTGGCAGTAGTTGTCACAGTCAGCACCGAATGTACCAGGACCACACACTTAAATATACAAGACATCCAAATCAGGTAACGCTTATGATCATGTGAATAGAGAAACAGAGCTGTTCAAGACGAATATACAAAGGATGCTTACAAGTTGATCATCATTCCATTTTATAGCTATAACAACGACCGTCAAATGGAGAAGTACTTGTAATCCAATACATCATCAAAGTAAAGTACTGATAATACATACGGAATTTGACAATACATTGCCGTGAAGTCCGTAAATGATAATATCGATAGCAGAATTCAAATAATATGTCTTGCTTTTTTACAGCAAGAATTCAATATTAACAAGCTATATGATCCACAACAATGCAACAACCAGATGAGAAATCAATAACCATACCAAAGCATCTGTTTTCTTTGTTCAATTACGTGACCAACATATTTTGATCTGTATGTTCCAGAACAGAAAATACCAGACATGTTCCGACCTTTAACCTCAACTTCACAGAACGCCAGGATAGGTGTGTTGAGATCGTCGTTTACAGTTGTTGTGTACAGGACCAGGTAGCGCCCTTCACCAGAACACGTGACGTTCAAAACATCAGGTATGTCTGTCCCGTCTCTGTTCCCTGTCACGTTGTAGCAGTTGACTCCATCAGTTGGGGAGGAGATGGTGTCAGCTATGTAGATCTGGATACCATTCCGACCATATGTAACTGTTGCAAATGAAACATCGGGGTGATCTAGTTATCTAGCATGCTATCTAGTATCTCTGTTGAAGAATCGCAACATGACACAGTCTCTTCACTTCAGTGGCTTTTGTAATGTCAATATGGATTGAGTGAGTGAGTTAATATTTAACGTCACATCGGCAATATTTCAGCCATATCATGACGAGCACAATTAATAAATACAAGCCTGTTGACGAAGAACAGTAAAACAACTAGTTTATCACAGATATCCATTTAAAACTAATAATTAAATCTAAAACATTTTAACTAGAAATAACGAGACAATGTAAAAACAGGCTATAGATTGCCAACAACTGAAGGTAGATCACCATTCTAGGGACCATGGGGACTGACAGTACAGTTTCTTTACACCATCCCTTCAGCTGTTAGCAATTTAGACACGGATAGCCATACATTAAAAAGACACATATTCTACGATTAAAAAAGTGGAAAGTTTTAATTTACTTGGAATGTTTTGGGACTTACGTAGCCTCTCAGGATTACACTAATTTTACAGTACTTTAACCCCCTTTGAGGATACAGCCACTAACAATCTGAGTGGGTAGATGGGTAGATGGGAAGGTGAGTAGGTTATTGCTGATCCTCGGAGGAGATACGTTCACTGCTTTGTTAATGTGTCAACTACCTCAAATGCAGGTTATTAATTATTTATTACCAGTGTGCAATATTGGAATATCTGTGTCCCTATTACATTGACTTGGATGAAAAACTCGTTCACGAGAAACGTGTGTCGAGATGAGAAACGGCAAAGCACCATTTGGCCATGACCGAACGAGTACATTGAGCCGTGAGTTACAGCAATCGAAGGAATTTTTTACTCGTTTAGCTACAGCTGGGTAGTTACCTCAGAACACGTTTGCTGGGAACCAAATGATTACGAATACGGTTTGGGATTTTCCGGACGCCACAAGTCCCAAAACAAAACATATTGTGTTGCGTTGTGGCGAGTGTTGACCTCTGTTCAGAACAGAGTTGGTCAGCATTCAAAACTGACATTTTATGAGCATGTGTCTATATTCGAATCGATGGGCAACCGTCAATATGTTTATTGACACTGTAAATGGTTGATTGCTTTTCTCAATCGGGTTCATCGCTATCTCACGGTGCGTCATGTTTATTTTGGGTTCTTCTTCCGCTTAGAACGAAGAAAGGAACGTTTGATGGATATTATTAAGATCTATTTATGCAATGAGACCATAAATACAGCAACAAATATGTGCAGTCTCGACATTTATATCATTTTCAAATACCGAACTATGTCTTATCTGCGTGCTTGAACTAAGAAAGGGACATTTTTGGGTTTACAGTTTGAGATAATCTGGATTTTGTTTCTTAATCGAAGTGTACTATTGTATGAACTGAGTGAAACTAATATTGGAAGTATGTAATAAATATAATATTTCATATATAATATTTAATATATGGCCATGGAACATCATGCAATGTGTAATTCATATTAGTTAAAGGCGTGACCACTTGCAGTTGTATTGTATGCTAAACATGGGAGTTCACTTTCTACATGGATACAAAATCATTCTCACTCTTGGAGACGAGATATGGGTATGATAGAAACACGCTAGGAAGACTCACTCACCTTCAGATCATTTAAAGGGGAAGTGTACAAGAACAAATCTCATTTATTCACGAATTTGAACTATTTTAAAAATGTAGTTTAACATCATTTATTTAATCTATTTCGAAATATATTTGATTGAATGTCTTGTTCATCTTGTTCACCCTGATTTGCAGACCAACAGTTGTCTTCCTACTGGTGATGTAAAAACAGGTATCGGTATGCCACAGCGCTAGCCTTTAATGTCGAAGTTAAATACGGAAAACACATGAGTGCAAATAAGGTGTTATTATACTCATGCCAATAATGGTTGTCACACCCCTCCCCACCCCAACACCCCACACACCCCACACACCCTCTCCAATAAACGAAATTGAAGGGGGTGACAACCATTATTGGCATGAGTATAATAACACCTTATTTGCACTCATGTGTTTTCCGTATTTAACTTCGACAACCATTATTGGCATGAGTATAGTTATTTTTCTGGTATTCTTTTTCTGGACCTATGACATTGCAAGTCAACTATTTCATTGTGACCTTCTCCACCTTGACTTGAAGGACATGACTTGATTTCGCGAACACCTGATGCACTATCGTATTTGCAAATTAAAGTGTCGAAAATAATAATCGTTAGCACAATCCTAACATATTTATTCAGTAAAAGGTGACCAGCGTCGGTAAGTAATACAAAAATTCCCCTCACATATTCTGCATATAACGTACTTTTGTAAGAGGTGACAAACGGGATCGGGTGGTCAGGCTCGTTGACTTGTTTGATACATTTCATCGTATCTCAAGTGCGCAGATCGATGCACATGATGTTGATCATTTGATGGCCTGATCCAGACTCGATTATTTACAGACCGCTGCCATATTGCTGGCATATTGCTGAGTGTGGCGTTAAACAACACACCAAACAACCAAGCTTATGCAAAACGTAGTTTTCAAGAATGTATAGGGCACCAAAAGATTTGTTATGCTCTTTTCTTGGAAGCATGTGTCATCAGGTCAAGAACAAACAAACAATAGGACAACAACAACGTGACAGTGCCGTGTAGAATTATTAATACAGTACATAGAATGAATTACTTTACTTACAGTTAGTCCTGAAGTAGATGATGACATCATGCACCAGGGTTTTCTGTCCTAGATCCACCCTCCACCAGGCTGATGTTATATTGGCGTCATTAAACGCAGAAAGAAAACAGCTGGACTCGGCCTCCCCGGTTATGTTGCCATTGACGGCGTTTGATGACGGTAAATGTGCACTACTAGATGACGTGGTTTTGTTCAGGGCTACATTTTCTGTGACATAAAGTGAATTAAATCATAAACAGTATTAGAATAAAGTATTATTAATGTCGTTAACATTGAAAAGTGTAAGGAAAAAGTATATGTGTATGGATAATGGCTCGAAACAAAAAACGTTTCAGGAATGACTAGTCTTTATGGATGATCAACTTCTTTATTGTACAGTGTCGACGTTTCGGTATAGATACTTATACCGTTTTCAAGGATGCTTGAAAACGGTATAAGTATCTATACCGAAGGATGCTTGAAAACGGTATAAGTATCTATACCGAGGGATGCTTGAAAACGGTATATGTATCTATACCGAAGGATGCTTGAACACGGTATAAGTATCTATACCGAAGGATGCTTGAAAACGGTATACGTATCTATACCGAAGGATGCTTGAAAACGGTATACGTATCTATACCGAAGAATGCTTGAAAACGGTATAAGTATCTATACCGAAGGATGCTTGAAAACGGTATAAGTATCTATACCGAAGGATGCTTGAAAACGGTATAAGTATCTATACCGAAGGATGCTTGAAAACGGTATAAGTATCTATACCGAAGGATGCTTGAAAACGGTATAAGTATCTATACCGAAACGTGCAATAAAGAAGCTGATTGTCCATAAAGACTTGTCAATCTGATTACTTACAACTTCTAGAATGCCTCTCAAACAGTTAAAAAATGTTTCACTATTTATCAAGTGATAAGTTCGAACCATTTTAAGCCAAACAAAGAGTCAAAGAGCACGTAACATGGACAAATTAGGCCAAAGACTATGCAATACTGTACTTCAATGCACTGTCTAGTTTCTTCAATAGAGCAATCGAATTCCTGTACTGACCTATCTGACAAGTCGGACCGGACCATCCCTGGGAACAGTCTGAAGGGTCACAGCCAGACGTTGAGTTACATCTGCTTGGAGGACAGTGACACTGGTAGCTGCAGTTATAGCCATATGTTCCTGATGGGCAGTCAGCTGTAACTGAACGAGGAAAGGGTTCCCGTTAGTGCATAGTGTTGACATGTTTCCTTCAAACATGAAATATTCAAAAATGTGAACTTGATCGCAACAGTACAGATATAGGTACTCACATCACAGTAGATATGCGTCTACAACACATAGACGCTGCTATATGAAGAAGGATATCGATACCACTGATGTATGTATTAGGACGCGTGAATGTAGGCGGTTACTGAATATGTCTTTCGCTTTCATGGGAGGAACTGTTATGCTGTATGTGACTAAAAATAATTATCGATATTCATCATAATGCAATGGAATGGAATGGAACACACACACACACACACACACACACACACACACACACACACACACACACACACACACACACACACACACCACACACATCCCTTCAGAGGGATCAGCACGAATTTTCTGACTTGTATTTTCCTGTGTTCCGCGCTATAATGAAGGTCTTGGATGAGGGAAGACACATCACACCTCGTGGTGTGTGTAATACCCGGCTAGAGATACATAAATTGTATTACTTTTAAGAAAATAGACAGTACGATGCACAAGAAATTACTATCATTGGCCAAGATGGTTTATACATCTCACGATAAGTTGTTTATAAAACGAAACGAATTCGATATAAATAACAGAAAAGGTCATTCCAACAGTAGAGAGAATGCATTGAATGGATTTCACATGGTTGGCTGCAGTTGGTCCAGCAGAACATGGCATTAAACTATGGAGTCTAAAGATGTGCTGGAACTTTAGGGCTTTACGTGTGTTTCATAGCACAGAAGGTTTTAAGTGGAGGAACCTTGGTGTAATTTATCACATAATTGTCACCAAGCAACTACAGTATATTGATGATGAGGATGTTCAACATAAAGAAGATATTGAAGACTCTTTATGAAGGGTAATGTATCATTAGCCTTTCGCCATTTACATTTCACAGATGTATAGTTGCTTATCAGTATGCCATAAAATTCACCTTGAATTCAGACACATTTTGGTGATAGATACATTTTTCAATTTAAGTTTCTCCACCAATGGCCTGTTCACGTAACGCGTCCTTCCAGGCACCGACTGAAGACATTCAAACAGTTTTGTGACATGTTGCTTGTCAGCATGATGATCGAAGCTATCCCATTCTATGACACTGGACAATCCCAGCGCCATGTGTTCTGTCACGTACTATACTGGATCGGACAGGCAGGCTTGGTGACTTCGTTGCCGACAGACAGATACAGCATTTGGATAGTCATAAATAGTTTTACAATAGTTACGTAATAATGGGGCTTATATGATGAGTGACTGAGTGAGTGAGTTAAAATTTAACGTCACCTCGGCAATATTTCAGCCATATCTTATATGATGAATGAACAAATACTAGAAATGGTTCGATAAATATGTCCTATCTACTATTTTGCATATATAATACACAATATCGACCTTATTCTATATTTAATTGGTGACAGGTTCCTGGGAACTAGGCTAACGCTCGACAGACACTGTTAACTATGATATGGTTTATGTAAAGTTCCACATGGAACGAAATTGTAAACAGAGAATATGACATTTTCGAACCACCAGTCTAGTTTATGTCAACATTCATATGATAAAACACTGTTATATAACTGTCGACATGCTGTATCCGTCGGTTTTTCCAAATTTCATCGAAACTGCAGCCTAAGTTTTGAAGCCGAAATACCTTTACCATAAAACATGTAACGTGGTATAATATGAAACAATGTTGCTAAACGTACATCTGTTATCCATCAAATTTCATGCTCGTATTTGAGACAACGTTTATATGAGAATAATGTTGTAAAGCTGATGTTCGTCTCTCACATAATCTTAAGTTGGTATCTCAGCACGAACAAAAGACTCTGCTATTCTCTATACTGTACTGGATTAGAATTACAATCAATATCCAACATCCATCCCTGGACACCCAATTTGCTAATTGGACACAGCAGTGACAATAATAATGTCCGACGCACTTTGCTATGTTCAAGGTTATATATTCGTGCTACTGGGAAGGGTTCAGTCGATGTTGGTTGTGAGTGCGATACTGACCATGTAACCGGTATTGGTTTCATGCAGGTCTGTGAGTGTGGCAGTATATCACAGACCATTTACAGAAGTCAGAAAGAGGTTGAGCGTCTGTGAGTGTGGCAGTATATCATAGACCATTTACAGAAGTCAGAAAGAGGTTGAGCGTCTGTGAGTGTGGCAGTATATCACAGACCATTTACAGAAGTCAGAAAGAGGTTAAGCGTCTGTGAGTGTGGCAGTATATCATAGACCATTTACAGAAGTCAGAAAGAGGTTGAGCGTCTGTGAGTGTGGCAGTATATCACAGACCATTTACAGAAGTCAGAAAGAGGTTGAGCGTCTGTGAGTGTGGCAGTATATCATAGACCATTTACAGAAGTCAGAAAGAGGTTGAGCGTCTGTGAGTGTGGCAGTATATCATAGACCATTTACAGAAGTCAGAAAGAGGTTGAGCGTCTGTGAGTGTGGCAGTATATCACAGACCATTTACAGAAGTCAGAAAGAGGTTGAGCGTCTGTGAGCGTGGCAGTATATCACAGACCATTTACAGAAGTCAGAAAGAGGTTGAGCGTCTGTGAGCGTGGCAGTATATCATAGACCATTTACAGAAGTCAGAAAGAGGTTGAGCGTCTGTGAGTGTGGCAGTATATCACAGACCATTTACAGAAGTCAGAAAGAGGTTGAGCGTCTGTGAGTGTGGCAGTATATCACAGACCATTTACAGAAGTCAGAAAGAGGTTAAGCGTCTGTGTGTGAGTGAGTGAGTTAGTGAACAAATGAAGCTAAGTATCACAGTTGTCAATGTGCAATGTAGAAAATACTCATGAAATTGGTACAGCGTAAATGAAAGCTTGAGCATCGATCTACATTACGTGTGTGCTGGAGGGAAACAGCTGAGTTAAGCCAGATATTACACACTGACTGAACAGTTAAGATTTTAACGTTCCTGGATGTTAGGTTAAAATAGTTGTCTGGTATTGTATTGTGTTAATACCATGATGGATGAGTAAATATAACGTGAACTATAGCAAAAACAAAAATAATACATTATACATCAAATGAGCTTTCGATAGTAGCACTATCACAGAAGAATGAGTGAGTGAGTTAAAATGTATAGACACTTTGGCAATATGTCAGCCATATCGTGACTTAAAAGGGTTATTTTTAAATAATATATAATATATCTTAAAATCTGTCTGCGAAGGACAGTAAACGAATTAGAGTATCACAGTTAGAGGTTCAAAACTAGCATGTTACTTAAAAGTATATGCGATTTAGGACATTACATTTTATAATCAGGCTATACCAGCAACTGAAGCTAGATCACCATACTAGGGACCATGAGGACTTACAGTGCATATCCGACCTGCATGGACCCTAGCTGGATTTACACCATTCCTTCAGCTACTGGTGATTGTAGTGAAATTTTGCCATTATTTAAAACAGCAAATATTCTACGATTAAAATTTTGTGGGTCGAAATTAAAATTTGCAAATCTTGTGACTAACGTATCCTCTCCGGAGGACAATAATTTTACAATACTTTAACCCCCTTCGAGGATACAGCCTCTGACCCTCTAAGTTGTAACTTAAACTCTACCAATAAAAATCAACTATCTACACAATATCAAAATCTATCAATTAATTCAATTTCTTTATAAAATCCAAGGATTAAATGAAGAGCAAGATGATTAAACAGATTCCTCATTGTTTTTTCATTGAAATAGTTATCCCTTGTGATGGAGCACAGAAGAGCAGGTTTTGTAAATCATTACGTAAGTTTCCCCTACCTGTAGTTTGCGAAAGCAGTATGAGAAATACAGCCACAGCGACTA